CTAGTGAAATAGGCCTATTCAATACAGTAAAGTTTTAAAAATAAATTTCTATCCCCCACCCACCCCCTACACACACATTGGCACCGATTAGCACTCCTTCCAGTTCCGTCAACAAATGTCGGATCAAACGCTTCACTTTTGCACGTTCATTGATGTTTACATCGATAATAGAATCATCACACGGGTTTTTTTTTTTAGATAATAAACAAAGTGGGTTATTTTTTTATTTATTTTTTAGAAAAAGGGAATAACCCATAAGCAAGAAGAAAAAAAACAGCCAAATAAAATGTTTTTTTTTTTCAGCCGTGGTCACATTGACATTTATTCTGTTCGTGTCTTGATTGTTTTACAACTTATATCAAACGCCCGTGTTTTTTTTTTAGTCTCGCTTACCAGAGCAATCATAACATTATCAGGGTACCTGTTCAGGTGAATACAGCTGAGAAATCTCGCATTACCGTGTCTGAAGGAAGGTTTTCTCACAAGATAAGCACATCAGGGGCAGCCACTCAGAATTGACGCCGCTTTCATCTATCGCAGAGGACACACATTTAGATGCAGACCCCTGTTTTATCCATATTTAGATGCAGACCCCTGTTTTATCCATATTTAGATGCAGACCCATGTTTTATCCATATTTAGATGCAGACCCATGTTTTATCCACATTTAGATGCAGACCCATGTTTTATCCACATTTAGATGCAGACCCCTGTTTTATCCATATTTAGATGCAGACCCATGTTTTATCCACATTTAGATGCAGACCCCTGTTTTATCCATATTTAGATGCAGACCCATGTTTTATCCACATTTAGATGCAGACCCATGTTTTATCCACATTTAGATGCAGACCCATGTTTTATCCACATTTACATGCAGACCCATGTTTTATCCACATTTAGATGCAGACCCCTGTTTTATCCATATTTAGATGCAGACCCATGTTTTATCCACATTTAGATGCAGACCCATGTTTTATCCATATTTAGATGCAGACCCCTGTTTTATCCACATTTAGATGCAGACCCATGTTTTATCCATATTTAGATGCAGAGCCCTTTCATGCCTCGTTTAAATGTACTTCAGACTCGTTCACATATAACCCGTCCGAAAATTAACCCTAGAGGTACCTTACTGAAAGTAATAGGACCAAGATATGGGACTGGTCATATCTTACAACCCCTACACCTCATATAAACGTAAGCGTGAAAAGGCCTGTATCATGTAGCCAATAACGGAGGCTTCAAATGGTAGCCTACATGATTGTATTACTTCGTACAATTAACCGAAAAGCTGTCAAATAAAGCCAGGTCTTAGGTATAAGTGATGTGAAAAAAAAAAGAAATGATGTGCATTCACCGGTGATGTAAAAAAAAATGATGGGTATTCACCAGTGATGTAAAAAACAAAAAACAGCAAACACAACTTGAATAGGTATTAGAATTTAATAATGAAATGTAAAATGTAATCAATTAGGCCCTAAGTGGCCTGCATGTCTTCAATGGACAGCTAACACATAACACTGCTGCGATGGAACAGATGCCAGGTTCAAGATGAACACATAAAACTAGAGCTGACTTCTACAAGAAAACAAAGTCAATTCCAAGTCAGCCACCTGGATAATCATAAGCTAGACCTGACTTCTACAAGAAAACAAAGTCAATTCCAAGTCAGACACCTGGATAATCATAAACTAGACCTGACTTCTACAAGAAAACAAAGTCAATTCCAAGTCACCAAGTCAGCTAACTGGATATAAGCTAGATCTGACTTCTAGAAAACAAAGTCAATTCCAAGTCAGCCACCTGGATAATCATAAGCTAGACCAGACTTCTACAGGAAAACAAAGTCAATTCCAAGTCAGACACCTGGATAATCATAAACTAGACCTGACTTCTACAAGAAAACAAAGTCAATTCCAAGTCAGCCACCTGGATAATCATAAACTAGACCTGACTTCTACAAAAAAAACAAAGTCAATTCCAAGTCAGCCACCTGGATAATCATAAGCTAGACCTGACTTCTACAAGAAAAAAAAAGTCGCCTCCAAGTCAGGACAATGCCAGCTTGTAAATAAATAAACTCTAACTGAATTCAAATGTTACAGTATTTACACAAGGACTGGCAGAGCTAATTAAAAAAATACAATTAGAGATTCTCTAAGACATTATGACATTATTGCTTTTAGAAGGTGGGTTGTTCTTCAGTTAAGTAGAGAAACTTGGCCACCTTGCATACTGACCATTTGAAAACAAAATTTTGTGCCTGCATTCAGTTACAAAAGAATATTTTGATGAATGAGTCAAATTAATAATAAAAATTCAGCAGAAAAATAAAACTGATGAATTATTAAAATAAAGCTTAAGAAAAATACAAAAATAAAATGTTTTTTCGTCATGTTAGCTCAGTTTTCAAGAATTCTTTTTTTTTTTAAAAATTAGGATGTAAAAATGTAAAAACTTTAAATGAAACATATCTAATTCATAATTTAAAAAAAAAATCTTAGCCTCAAAAGGTATAAAACTAAACAATAAATCTGGCCAATAAAATGTAGTTAATATATACAAGAATAATGGTACAACATAATAGAATAATGATACAACAACATATTATAAATAAATATTGCATAAATGTACAAGTGACACAAAATGTTGGATTTAAACTTAGATCAAGAAAGGCCCATCAATTAATGCATAGTAAGCAAATAAGGATCAACAAAAGCTTTAAGGCCCAAATTATTTTTGTTTAACTCAAGAATTTAGTGTACACATATCCACGTGCTAGACATTTGATATTTACATTATTTTTTTTCTGTTGCTACTTCTATCACTAAGTTCTGTACAAGTTCAGTTTAAAACACACCTACCCGTATGGACATTAAAAACATGGAAGACAGATCTATTATGTGTTCCAACCTCAGACATTTGTTAGGGCCCTACTTACACTGGGTTCTTACATCACATTGTATGTGTAGAAAATTTACCATTGTCGAAGGAAGGTATGGATCAGAAAATTTATCTACTAACAAATTATCTTTACTGTGGGCTTCTATAATTAGAATAAGACTAATGATATGAAACAGATCTAAAAACTGCATCAATCAGCATGAAAAAGTCATAAAACAACAGACATAACATCAGCTTTAGAGTACTAGTACTTAACTATTTGTTATAAGTAAATCATGTGACATAATTTAAAATAACAGCTTGACTGTATTAGTCTGTAAGTATAAAAACAGGATATTACTAGACAGTATAGGATGTGTTCATGCATCGAGCACTACTAGTTCTTTGGTAGGAGTTAATTAAATGCCGAAGTTCTAGACACAGAGAACAATATCAACCACATTATAACTGAACTATTGGAAGTATAAGTAATAAAACAATGGCTCAGCTGCTCAAAAAAACAAATGTAAGTTAAACCAGCAGGTGTACTCATTGGATAAGCAGCATGGAATAAAAGGGTTTACAGTAATATGAAATAAGTCAAGACAATGTGCAGCATGGAATAAAAGGGGTTACAGTAATATGAAATAAGTAGAGACAATGTGCAGCCACTACAATAGATTTGTACATTTTTTTTTACTCTCAGCTGTCACAATGTTTACAGCCATAGGTCATCCATTTATTACCCTGCCCTTTAACACAAATTTGCTTTAAAGAGCAACAGGGAAAATATTCATGTATATTTTATTGACATTTTTATGTGTGGATAGGGTGTAAATGGATGAGTCCTCAATCCCCAGCTGAGTCTGACAGGGTTCACTGACTTAACTGTCATGCATGATGAGTCAGCTATTCACAGACTTAGTGCTCACCACTTCAACTGTTTTGTTTGGAGTGGCCTTGTAGAATGTAAATAAAATATTAACACAGATACAATAACTTGTATAAATACACATGATTGCTGATTACTTGATGAGGTTAGCTGAGGTTTTTGATTCAAAGATAAGACATAAAACAAATGTAAAACAAAACAAGCCAAGCAAACTCAAGGTTGCCAGAATCTGTCAGCCAAATTGTGCAGTCAAGTCATGGAATATTTTTATACAAGGATTAGCCATTTGTATACACACTTGCGCCAGAACTAAAACACTATATTTAAATATTTACAGCATGTAAACATGATATTGTTACTTATATGTAAAGGTTTTTTTTGTACAAATGATCACTTTAAAACTAATTTTACTTAGTTTCTTTTGTTAAGTTTTGGAAATGAAATCTAGATCTGAAATGTACACATGAAACAGATCTACTAATCTAGTAAGTTCTACCTATACTATTTCAAGTAAATTCAATGATACAAGTCCAAATGAGTTAAGTAAGATGAGAAATTTAAGCCATTTTACACAAAATATTTACAAAAACATAATTTTTTTAAATAATTATTTTGAAAACTTCATAAAAATGATATACATGGGTAAACAAAGTATAAAGTGAATGAATGCTAAGTGTGAATAAAATAAATACAATAAAATGCTGGATAATTGAAATCCAATGGCTCATGTAGACTCCAACAATAACTAAAGGCCACTGAGAAATGTACATAGACTGCCAGGGACTACAGTATACTTGTTCCTACAGATCCCTCTACACCTCACAATACAACTACCAGCTCTACAGTTTCGACCACTAAATCAACATTTTGGTAACCCCCCCCCCCCATTTTATTTTACATACTCCTGATGAAATTCAACACGCAGTAAGAACATACTTGGTCTGATACTATTTTATATATAGGAAATCTGAAATGATTCAGTTGTAAGTAAAATTGTTCAGGGATTGTTCAATTTATCATTGTAAAGAACATAAATATTGCTTCAAGGGGAGGTAAACAGCTCAGGGGTTTACTTGATGGTGGAGGGGTAGGGGGTAATGGTCACATTATGATGGAAGACTATCTTACACTGCTGGAGTTATAGAAGAAGCGTGAAATTACAGTTCTTTTACTACCCTACAGTTATTTAAAGCATTATTATATTAACATTAACAACTAGACATCAAGTACCATTTCTCAACCATCAAGTAAGCAATGGAGCTATGTTTTGAGCTTTTGGACAATGTAATTTGTATAATGACACCCACAGCTGTGTGGGTAGAGAACTGGCCAGCAGCTTCTAGACAATCATTTGTTCAGCTTTTCTTGTTATCCCAGCTAATACCAGCTATGGAATTGTTAAATGCCATTTACCAAAAAGTAACTGTTGAACGTATATGTTGCAATACTAACAAAAACATTTGTTCAAGCCAAATCTTATTTTGAAGTGTTCATTAACATTTGAGAATAGAAAACCTGTTGTGTAGAAAACAAGGACAAAGAGGGAGCTTATGTTTAACAAAAGAGTCTTGATTAGTTTCATTAAATATAAATGAACGGACAATATACAGAAAGAAATTCTCACCTACCATTAAAACTATTGAGTGAAAATGAAGAAGAATAAAATTTTTAATGATGTGTTCCTAACACATCTAAAAGTTTGTTTTAAATAACTCTGTATAGTGTAGCCTCTATCAATTTATAAAAAAGTTTCAACACTGATGAGTGACCTAAAGTTTGCCAGTTAAGACTGTCAGAAGTTCAAGTTAAATGCTATATTTGGTCAACATAGTACTCAGCACTTCCAGGTTAGCTGGTGGAAAACTGCAATACCACACCATCGTGCCCCTTATGTGGCCACACCACCCAGCGCCACATGTGGCCCTACACCTCTGCTGCTAGAAACTTATTTTGGGGTAGATTCGACTGCCTCCACCAACTTGCCCAGTGTTTTCTTGATCCTTAAGCAGGTCAGTCTGGCCGCTGGGCTGGGGTTCCAACACTCACCCATTAGTCTGGACATCACTTTTAGGTACTGTCAAAATCAAAACAACAACATACAGCATTTTTAAGTGTTACAGTAACAATGAGAATTCAATACACAGGACAAAATAGTGCTACTGAGACAAAGTAAATTCAATATACAGGACATAACATTGCGACAGAGGATTCAGTGATGAGACATAAGTTGAAAGCAGCTAAAAATAAAACAATCAGCATTGCACTAGCATTACTCTATTTTACCTTCCCTCAGATCTTACAGAGAAACTTAAAATAAACACAAGAATCAACAGGAAACAGTTGTACTTACCTCATCACTTTCCCATTGCTTTGGAATTGTTGGTCGAATTTTCTCAATGCTAACAACTTTTCTCATGTCGTCTATGCTGGGATCATTTGGAACAAACTCATAATAGGGAAGCTGGGCCTCATGTACAATACCTACAGACAAGGGTAAATTTAGGGATACAATTTTAAAAGGTAAAACCAGATACTATAGCTTTAGTAAATATATCTTTAATACAAGGCTTAAAAACATTTTGGTTGTCTTCAGTAGAGCCATTACAAAAACTTACTATATAGAGAAAACCTAGTGTCTATGACAAAAAAAAAAAAAAAAAAATCATTTTGAAAAAAAAAAATCTTTAAATAAGAATTCCAACAAAATCAGACTATTATTTTTGTCTCAACCTCGGCTATAAATAAGCAATAGATTCTAACCTCCAATAACACATCGCCTGGCAATTTCCCACAGGACCAGACCAAAGGAATACATGTCTGCCTGCTTGTAGGAGTCAAAGTGGTTTTTGTTTAGATTCTCCTCTAAAACCTCAGGGGCCATGTATCTTTTGGTGCCACACCGGGTGTTGGATGCAATGTCAACTTCGTTAGTTTCACTGTAATCAATGTGGGTTAAAAAATTTTTAGAACAATATTCAAAATTTTTTTTTTAATTTTAGTTGGACTGGTATATACATAATTTGTCAATGCAAACTCAGAAAGGTATATCTTATTTTATTTACCAAATTTTCTTTATAAGATGAGATGTCAACTTTTTCAATATAAAAAATTAGTTTAGACAAATATAAAAATAAGTCCTAGTGTAAGTGAAAGTTTAGGAGAATAAAAGAAATATTTTTCAAACCTGACATATCGTACAGCCAACCCCAGATCAGCAATACAACAGGTCCCATTTCTGCGCACAAGAATGTTTTTACTTTTGATGTCCCTGTGTGCTATAGCTGGTTTACCTGAACATAAATAATGTTACATTTTAAAAAACAAACATTTCTCACACTCTTGTATTTGAAGGGTGGCAACTAAGATTTTAAACTTCATCATTGTTCAAGATGACTTATACTTAGGGTGTCACCTAAGATTTAACTTCATTGCTGTTCAAGATGACTTAAACAATTAAAAACTACATTTATTTACCTTTAATTTGATACCAATTTTATTTATCAAATTTAATTGGTAGCCTAGAAAATGGTTTGTAAAAATACGCATTTGCTTTTAAATGGCTACGATGATATGACTGATTTTCAGTGATATGGTAGGTTAGTTTTTTAAGGAGTGTTGTTGTGACTCAATTGAAAGTTTACTGCTGCTTGACAGAAATGTGTTGTTTGCTAGATTTCTCCCCATTCAATTACATATTGGGCAAAATGGACGGGCTTAGTTAGCTGTTGTCTCGATCAAGTTATTTTTTTATAGGTTATTTTTTGATACGTTTTGTTTTTACCCTGCATGATTTTTAAAACAGTAATGACATTAGTTCAGTAGAAAACAAGTTATAATTTTCTCTAGTTTAGAAGATATTTTCACTATGTTTAGAACAATATTAACCATTAATGACCCATAACGCCAGCTGCCGCCCATAGTTTCTCCCAACACAACAAGTAAAAACACAACAGGGGCTACAACTGCTCCCATACCTCTGGTGCCAAAGATTTCGACATGAAGGTGTGATATGCCACAAGCTGCTGAATGTGCCAGGATGAGCATCTCTGAGGTGTCCAGGGCGTGAGCCTGAAGGTAATCATACAGTGAGCCGTTCTCATGGTAGTCTGTGATCAGGTACAGTTGTGTCCAGGAACCTGTGCCTTTGATATCTGCTGCAATGAATCCTGGGAAAATAAAAGTAACATATATTAGCCAAAGCTCTCCTTTTTTGTTTTTTTACAAAAGTAAACAGCTTCAAAATAAACGGATGTTTTAAAATCATAATATATTTCATACCAATAAACACCAAACATACATCAAGGTTAAAAAAAGGTTTGAGTTTTAACTAACCATTTGACTTCAAAAGTATATTTTAATATAACTATTAGCAAGAAGCAAAAACATAAATTAAGCAATGTAAAGGAAATTTAGAAAAAAAAAAGGCATGAGTTATGACTTACCCAGGATATTGTCATGCCTTAGCAAGACTGTCTGGTACAACTCAGTTTCCCTGAACCAGCTCTGTTCCTCTGTGGTGAAAAATATTTTGACTGCCACATTCTCCCCCCTCCACTTGCCTTTCCATACCTCACCAAACCTGCCTTTCCCAATACTCCGAACAAGGGTGATCTGTTTGGCTATAGTTCTCTGAACCTTAAAAAGTAAACATTTTTTCCCAGTTATATGTCAGCTGTTGTGTAGAAGAGATGGAATACAACATACATACCAAGTTATACGAGAACCAAATATATGAAGATAAACGATAAGCTTACTATGAGTGGAAGTCCAGAACCACTGCCAGAGCTTTCATCTATCATACTATGTAGAGACTGTGAAGGGATGAAATTTTCATGCTCAGAGTCTATCTGCAGCTGCTTCTTCTTTAACAGTTGTCTTTTATTCCTGATAAGATTAGAAATAAGATTATAAAAACCATGACATGCAAAACTTTAGCAAGCTACCTTATCCTGTTCAACAGGATAATTTGTAAATTAAATAATACACTTGTTATTGTAAAAATAATATATAGTAGTGCTGAGAATAATACAATGACACCACAGCCTGCAGCATCTTTAAGAAAAACTACCCTAAAACACAACTTACCGTAGGCAAATGACTGCTATGGCAACAATGAGAATGAAGAGACAAAGGGTCACAGAAAAGAGTAGAATTATATGAGTGATGCTCTCTGTCCTTTTCTTTTGGTTAAATGTTCCTGGAATTTAAAAAAAATTACTAAAATGTCTAACTGATAATTTTATACATGTAAATATTATATCATAATTAAAATACATATGGTCCACTTCTTTATTTTAAATCACCAAACACAACGTACTGTAAACAATATGGTAACTAATATATTATTTTATGGTAGGATTAAATGTATAAAACATTATTGATAAATATTGATCTATAGTGCTATAGGTTACAAGCTGAAAGTAACAGACTGTAAATACCATTGTCAGATCTTGTAGTGACATCCAGCTCTGTGCCTGTCTCTGTGAATGTAAGGTTTAACCTCTCATTACAGTGGTCTTTGTCTTTACAGCATTTTGCTACATGTTTATATGGAACAACTGAGGGCTGGCACTGAAAAAAAAACAATGTTTTGTTTTTAAACCACACATATGTTGATTACAACTATAAATTGTATGCATTTTTTATTTGCTAGTATGTAGACAATAGAGAATATAAATACTTAGTTAATAATCTAAAAGAAAAATGTGAATAAACAAATTTAATAATATATTGTCACAGAGCAGAACATTGTAAATGTCACCCCCTCCCAATAAAAAAAACTGCATTAGGCAATTACTCCAAACCCCCCCCCCCCCCCTTACACAGTTGATTACTAATTGACCTTATATCTAATAGGAATAGAGTTACTCTGAGTAGGGATGAGTAATTAAGGATCAATTAATGTCAGATTTAAGGATATGCTGAAATATAATATATATTCTCAAGAAGAAGTGTAATGCCCTATATCTTTAGATGAGCTTAAGTTTACCTGCAACAGTGTTCCTTCTTCAGGTGCCAAACATCCCCATTGTAGCACTTCAACATTTTCAAATCCATTGTTAATCAGGTGCATTGATGCATAACATTCCCCCAGAGGTTGGGCTTCACAGGTGCCATTTGTGTCAGAATCCTTGCATGGATTGCAGAAACATGTCAGTCCAAATGCCTCTGTTTAATAAAGAAAACATTAACTTGATTATAAATTAAATATTATTCGGTAAATAAATAAAAGAATTATCAACCTTATTATACCAGAAAAATTTAAATTAATCTTCAGTTCAAAATTAAAAAAAAAAGTATAGTGGTTTTTCTTCTATTTAAGACTGAACAGTGAACAGCAGGCTCCAATTTGGATTGTTCTTTTTCAATCATGGTAACTTTTAGGTGTAGCTATAGCTATCATAAAAATTCATATGATATTATGATAGGCCTATACTTATAGCCTGATAATATTTACGCCTAATTAATATGCTAGTATCAAGTTTTATAAAAAGACTTTTAGAGTAAATGAGAATTAATCCTAATATGAAATCAGTTTATGGCCACTACTAATACTAGATTCTAGTAATTCTTTTTACCTCGGATGTACAGATAGGCTGACCTCAGAATTTTTTTCTAGTGGGGGCCTAGTAATAACTTTGGACAAAAGTTAATAGGCCTTATATTAGGCTATCTGCTAAATAATAAATTGTATAGCCCATTGGCCTGTTTAGAAATCTAGGCAGTATAATATTTATTTTGGATAAGACTACCCTTTTTGTCACAAACTAATGAAACAATTTTTTCAACTTAAGTAAGTAAAAAAATCTTGCAATACTTGATAGTGACAAGTTGATACTAATTATTACGAATGAAGTAATACTACACTACTAGCAGTAGTATTGCTTGCTACCCTGGAGGCGGGGCAGGTTGCCTTTTTAGGGTCATTGCATTTTTGCATCTTCTGCCGGCCAGCCTGGGCTAGGGGGCAAAAGCTTCTTCTGACTTAACACTTCAAAAAATAAATGAAATAGGCCTATAGTCAGCCGTCTTTTTATAAGACCGGCCAATAAAATAACAACCAATTTTTTTTCAAAAAACATAAAAGTGACCACTAGTGAGGAACTCTGATGCATAGCCAGTTAAAAGTCAAATCCAATTTCGTGGCTTCAAACACAAGGGTTATGAAACATGGTTGAAATGGAAAGGTGTATCGTGCCATTGCTGTGTGTTGTGTGACAATATATTTTAAATTAAGTAGGGGCCTAATTTAGAACTAAAAACTTCAAAATTAGTGCTTAATGGATTAAATATGGATGTCTATTATTCAGTGGTCATGTTTAAATTGAAAATAGGGTAAATTTTAGATTTGGTGAGAAAATCTACAGCCTATTCACTGTCAGTGATTAGGCCTAACTATGTTTAATTTAAATTGAAAATTGAGTTAATTTTATTTTAGATTTTAGACTTAGCAAGAATATCTACAGTAGTAGTATAAGTATTAGGCTGCTGGAAAGTAATCTGTACTGTTTACAATATGAAACTAGATCTACAAATTAACTTATTCTCCAAGCCTACAAAAATAGTATAAAATACAGTAATTGTTGTTTGTTACAATTACAATACTCTCCGAACTACTGTTTACTGTACTGAACTGCTGTACTCAGTGTTACACAGTGAAAAAGTTCAGAGCTAATTCACTCTACCTACACTCACCGAGTCTGCGTAGTCCAGTAGATCTAGAAATCTATATCTAATCTAGATCTAGATTAGTAGAGTACTCGTCTTTAAGAAATCTAGATTTTAGTATTTTTAGGATCCAGATCCTGAGATCAGAGATCTAAAAATAAAATGAAAATGATAAAATCTCTAGAATCTAGATTCTAATTCTAGAATCTAAAATAATGTAGATCTAGAATCTAGTCTAGATCTAACGTTTACAGTCTTATTATAAAGCTTTTTACTCGATAAATGGATCTAGATCTATATAATTCATACAAACCGTAGACACAAATGGTTAAAATGATAGCGTATTTTGTCCAGAAATGATCTGTTTTATGTTGTACATCCCAGGGCTTCGCCATTTTTGTGAGTGAACTTAACCCCAAAATCTCTGACGTCACAAGCACTTTTCCCCCATGCGGTGTAAAGTTAAAAAAGAAACCAAATCATTTTTCCTTAAATTAATACAAATTAATTAGATCTAGTCATCTGGGGCCTGTATAGAATACGGTTTGAATTTGAATGTAGGTCTATTTCAGTATTTTTAAAAAAATTAATCGGATCAAGGTTCGTAACTTCAAGAAACTGCTTTGGTCATAAAATCATCCATAAACAGAAATTTAGGCCACCTAAAATTATTACCATGTCGGACTACCTATATAGTAATACTTTTATAATGAAGGAAAAGACAAAGACCCTTATGAGCTATCGTTTTTATTCTATCGTTATAAGTCATTTAACAATTGTATAAAGTGCAAAACGGCCCCCCTACAAAAGGGCCAGGACATATTGACTCCTTCAAATGGGCTCCTGAAATTTAGGCTCCCGACAAATAAACTCCCAACCTATTGGCTCCCGGCAAATGGGCTCCCGACATATTGGTTCCCGACATATGGGCTCAAATATGGATCTTGACTCCAGACAAATACATCGTATGACCTCTTTTAGCCTAGACGTAACCATTTATCACAATAACCTTTTAAATGCCTGAATGAAGAACTTGTTCATGAACCAACAGTAATAAACAAATCGGGACCGTTTTGTCACTGGCCATTTTGACACCGCGCGATTGTATGGCCATACTCAATCACATTAAACAGTGTAGTTAAGTCCATGAACAATACCATATCTCAATTGGGTGGTGAAGAGGGCTGAAAAGAATCTGGTGTAGAACACGAGGGGGGGGGGGGGTATAATTTATTTCAACGTACAATTTGTGTTTAAAAAAAATAACGAAAGGCATATAATTTTAATTGGTGTAACCGTGTGCCATTTTAGTCGGTGTGTCAGGGGCGTAGCGATCCCTCCCGGCGCCCGGGGACAAACTTTCAATATATTTTTTATATTTATAATTCAAAATAGCAGCATACATGAGCTTATTTTGGCGCCCCCAGGGTCGGCGCCCGGGTACATATCTACCCCGCCCCCCCCCCGTCGCTACGCCTCTGCGGCGTGTGTGTATGGGTGGGTAGGGGGGGGAGAAGGTTCTGACTATATATTTGTGACAAAAAGTTACTATGTGTTAATGCTGACGGGAAGGTTTATATGCTGGTTTATGTATGGTCATATCTGAACGACCCTTTAGTCTTAGCCTGTGTGACCACCAGGGAACATAAGATTTAAGAGGGGTGTGGACTCTACGGGGGGGGGGGGGGGGGGGGCACCATTTAAGGGGGTGACACCAAAGCAAAAAAAAAAAGCAAAATATAAGGAAGAACAATTATTTTTTATTCCAGTTCAGTTAATAATTAATATAGTTAATTAGCCTTTTAAGTATTGACGATTCGGACAAGCGGGTGAAAGTGACTCCGTGATGTAAGCTTGCTAACGATAGAGAAAACAATGTTACATCTAGCTGTACATAAACTGACTATAGATCAACCGAATAAAAAAAAAAACATGGTATCAATAATTGTCAAATATTTTTTTTTTTTTTAAGTGTTGTCCATAAAATGTCTCTCTCGTAAGGTGTGTGTGTGGGGGAAGGGGGGGGGGGGGGGGGGGTGGGTCCGTAATTTTGTCACACTTTTGCAATAAAAAAAAAGTAATGTTAGAAACTGAATTTTATCTTTTTTTGTGTATTAGAAAACTTGTAATAAATTGTAATAGGAATAGATTCAATAATCTATGTTCATCGAGCTCAGTCAGTATTATAGTAAAAAAATCGATGTTAAAAAAAAATTCAACTGCAGATTTGAGGGGGGGGGGATTGTAGGTTGTGATGTGAAGTCATTTTAGGGGGGCGGGGGCGGTCTGGCTTTTTGTGACGATGTGTAATAGAGGGGATGGTGGGGGCGTAAAAATTGTCAAAAATGCGTGGCGTCTTTTATGGATGACCCCTTTGCAAAGCTTTTTGAGATCCAGTCTAAAAATAGAAGTAGATCTAATTTTTCTCTTTTATTCAGTGGGTTTGTATTTCTACGTAACAAGATGTCGCTATGTTTAATTCTTCTTTGATGGCAATCTGTTGGTATGGTTCTCATAATATTTAGCATGTAAGTCTAATGGGAGGGCCTCTATAAGGTTATCTATTTTTGACTCCCTCTAAAGTGTTAATTTACCCCCCCCCCCCCCGCCTTTTCACGTCAACTTCTTTAATCCATCTGCTTTTAATTTTCATAAACCTTTTAAAGCCATTTTTTATTAACTGAGAAGTCGCTGAGATATTTTTAAATAGATGCCAACTGCATTATTAATGCAAAATAATTTTACGTGTGATAACTCAATTCATATATTTTCTAGTATTTTAATTTGATTGTCATAAATATATTTTTGTATGTAATAAGTAGGATCAATGTTTTTCTTAATATTGATTAAAATTGCATGTTTCAAATTAACATAACTTTTGAGACGAAAATGAATAATGAAAAAAAGCGATATGTTTAAGTTAACTGATTTTGAAACACAATTATTTCAAGGTATAAAACACAGTAATAGAACCGTTTGGTTCAGTTAAATGCTTGAATTATATCCCTTGTATAGATAAAACACATTTGAGACGTATGGGGTGGGCTATCGAAATGACTGTTATAGAGCGTCATATATGATGAGAGGTGGGTCGATGTATTATAAAATATGTACACCACCTTTAAAGCAAAACAAATGATTATCGATTTTTTTTTCAGTAAGCAAAAAGATTTGTAATATAAGGCTTCAGTTTCTATCATTACAGAATCTATTCAAACAGACCACAGGCAATCAGGGCCGGCGCTACCTATAAGGCGAAATAGGCGGTCGCCTAGGGCGCCATCCCTAGGGTGCGCAAAATGTTTAATCGATATTATCAAAAAGTACTTAATAATTAATAACTTTTATAAAGGTGTAGCGATTAATTAGTAGAGCCCAGTACATACTATCAATTTTGCACCCCCACCCCAAAATTAGGTCTATATAGGCATATCTTTATTCGCGATGGTGAAAATGCAACCCCACATCCCTAATTTGGAAAGGTCGGGGCGCTTTTTACCAGTTACGTTGCCTTTTTAATTTGTTTTCACATAATTCATGTAGAAAACGATTAAATAAGTTCGTTATTTAAATTTCGAACATTTCAAACGATTATTTAATTTTAATAGGGCTTGTAAGTCTCATTTTCTCTCTTTGAAATAGAAATCTGTCCTGGTGTACATAGTTTTGTAATGACGGGGTGTTCAAAGTATTTTACTTGTTTGGTAAGATTTGATGAATCGTTTAGATTTGGGAGTAACGGCGGAAGGCGGTTGCTGATATGGTTTCGTAGGTATAAAGTATCGAAGTGTTAAAGTGTCGTAATTTTTATTCGGCTGTTTTGTAGTTCAAAGTCTAGTGGAATCTAATTGGTAATAAAGAAATGTTAATGCAGGTGATGAAGTATCGTAGTTCTGGAGTTCGGGAGTATTGATTCCTGTGGTATTAAGGTATCGAATAATATTGACTGTTAATGTGTATAGTAGGTCCAATGAAATCGTTGTTGATTGGGAGTACCGTTTGTTAAACGAGTTGGTGTCGTGGTTCTGGAGCATCGAGTCTAGTTCTCTAGTTGAAAAATCTTTAGTTTTTTGGAATCTATATTATAAATCTTAATTATAATATGAAATAGGGTGGAATTTATAACTAAACCCTTAACTTTTAAAAAAATTATAATATTTTAAAGTATTTAATCAACAATTCTAGCAATGTCTAAAACAGTGACCCGTGTATGATTTTTTGAAAGGCGTCCCTTTATTTAGGGTATCCAAAATTTTCCGATATGTGCTGATCTGAAGTATACGCCTTAAAGAATGCCATCGAAATTAAATAGAAAAATGTTGTAATCAAGCTACCGTTTTCAGGCTTCCAAGCAAAACCTACAGTTAAGTATTCATTAAGTAAAATATTATTTTTTCACAAAGTTACATAGCTAATATAAAACAATTTATATAATGATAACGTAATGAAATTTATAGCGTTTTATTGTGAATGTCAAGCATGTCTTAGTTACGCTTGGTTAATTTAGCTAATCTTGTGAAAGTTATTTCCCTTGAGTAAAATGTTGGTATTTGTATTTCCAAATGGGAGATAATTCGTTGCTTAAATTTACATTCATTTCAAATTCCTGCTTCTTAGGTTGACCGCATACTTATAAGTTAGCTTATACCCGTGCTTCGCCACAGTGTGGATATGAATATTACCTCAGCGTTTACGCGCTGCGTGTGGATCCCCGCATTGGGGTGAATATTCCTTCTAATTTTCTAACAATAATTTCCTCTTACACATCCGTATAATTTGCATTCACATTTTGCTAATTATATTATTGCGACACTAATTCCTCCTAGGACGTCCGTAGATTTGCATTCACATTTTTTAATTAGCGTGGGTTTAATTTATTTTTAAATTACCTCCATTGTCAAAATTAGAAAAAAAAAGAATTAAGTTAATTTGATTTTTCTACCCTACTGTTATTATGTTATTAAAATGTATCCACTTTTTCTAGGAATATAAACGAAAATGATATTTGACATTGATCCTTTTAATATGTTTTAGGAATGTGCGTGTATTTAATATTTTCTTTACGTTATGCAAAAGAGTAAAAACAGTGGCGACCATAAAATAACTCTATGTCGTTATATAAACAAACCCTACTCTACTACTTATAATAAGACACTGCGATGCACTGAAAAGCACTGCATGGTGGGATGTTTACTTTTATGGTTCCAAAATCTATAGCGATGACGGACTGACACACAACCAGCCCGCTTATATTATAGATACAACTTTAAGTTATTATTTGCTACGAGCCGGCCCGCGGCATAACATACGCCGCTATTTAGTTGTTGTTTTTTCTACTTTTCAGTAATTCATAATTTGTGAATTCGACAGTACCAACGCTGACACTGAAAATATTTCTTTAAAACACTATAAGTAGCTCGTTAAGGACCATACCCCCCCTCCCCCCCCCCAACGTTTAAAATCGTTTCAAACTAAATTATCTGCCCCTAACAGCCGTCACTAAACCCGACTCCACGAAGGTAAACATAGCGTGAACCACAGCTCACTAAGACCATGTAGGGGTGGGGATGGTAGGGAGCGCGTTTACAGCTTGTTTTCTAGCGTCTCCCAGAAGAGAATTATATATATAGATTGTAACAATTATATAGAGCTTAAGATCTTAACAAAATAGTTTGGTAGTTTTTTTTTTTAGCATTATCAAGTTGAAAGACAAATACATCAGTAACTGTTATAGATTTCAATACGTAATGTTAGTAGACACACCGTCGTAAATTAAACATCTAATTAATTGTCTTTTCATATTTTTCACCCACTTCTAAAGGATTTTTCTATAACAATTTTAGGCTGGAATCTATATTATTTATACCATTGTATTTTTCATAAACAAAAAAAAATCGTTACATTCCGTTAAGTTCCGTTTTAAAACTTACCTTGGGAGGACTGCAGGGAGCCCAACACAACATTAATTTGTGTGAAAGGGGGGTGTTTTAATAAGTTTTGCCTAGGGCGCTAAATAACCTGGCACCGGCACTGCATGCAATGAATGCGCTTTTTAAAAAGTTACCGGACGATGGCATCAATTATAAATAAAACAAATATAAAGAAAATGTATTTTCAGCAATAAGCTTTTAAATGCATTGACAATAAATAAATATAAATAACTTGCTTTCTTTAATTAAAAAAAAACATTTTATGAGTGACCAAAGCTTTTTTAAAAGAAAATTCTTCAAATTCTCAGCACATTTAAAAGCCTTTTAATAATATTTTGTTGATGAAATTAACATACGACAAAAAATATTTGCTTTACAGCCACACCAATGACTCGTGATCTCCAAATGACAGTTATCTGCCCTTAGAAATCAATCGTCCGTGACAAACAGTTTAACGTTGTAATAAGAATAATCGCTTAATTATGTTGCTATCTCCCCTTTTATTATTACATATTATAGTAATGTATATATTTTTTAAAATTATTAATTTAATATCTTATTAAATTAAAAATGAGATATTCTTGCATTGTCCCCAAAGAGCTAAAGACGAACGCACCAGGAAAGTTGGAACCAGAGTTTCTTCCAGGCATCTCTTCGGAGGCCGAATTTTTTTTACCGCCCCCCCCCCCCCCCCATCGAACGAAATGAAATTTATATAATTTATATAGAAAATATATACTTTTAACAGTGTCCGCCCCCCCCCCCCCCCGAAGAAAGTCTACCGCCCCCCCCCCCCCCGAATTTCAAGTGCCCCCCCCCCCCCCGGAGAAAAAAGTCTGGAAGAAACACTGGTTGGAACGAAATCGCTGCATTATAAGTGGATCAAAACTGAGCTATAAAATGTGGAACAAATCCACAAATAACATTGTGAACTAATAAAACTATAAATATTTTTACGTACTTTCAAAAAATGCGAAGACACTATGTTGAGCTAAGGTAATTTTTTCAACGAAATTAATTACAAAAAAAATATGATCATAGGCATTTAGAATCTAGTAAAAACAATTGCGAAATAAGATTTAGTAAACCAAACAAATTTAATATAATAATTCTTTCAACTATAAACCGAAAATAAAGTTTGAAGGCTACTAGAAGTGTTGTTTTCTTAGCCAGTCAATGACAACGGGTTTGAAATGCTTCATCCAATAAATATTTCGCTCAATACTTTCAATGGCCAATTTTCGATATCTTTCACCGGCTCCTGCGTCCGGGTATTTGTCGAAAAAATCTTTCACCTGTAACGAAAACAAGAATTATCGAGACGAATAGTACTGGCAAGTAAACTGTGCAGGTACTAGATCTACATGCCACATAAGATTCGGGTTTTGACTAGATAAACGCCGCCAGTAATGCAAAAAGTGCTCGGGCAAAAAGTTAAGCACCGCCGATTGTGACCTATTTCTGATGTCTAGAATTTTTAAATATTTAAAGGCACACCATAAAAACAACACCTTATCTAGGGTTAGGGTTAGGATTTAGGGGTTAGGGTTAAAGCTACCAAAATATAGACCTGTTCATGTAAATTATCAATGACATGTACGAGTTCCATTCTCTTCAATCAAATCTAATACTACAAGTTTCGTATCCTCTTTTTATAATTTTTACTAGGTAGTGGGGGTTAACTTATAGGCAGGTTTATTTTATTTGTTTTATTTGGACAAGAACCGAAAGTTCTAGCTAGATCACCACCCCAGCATCACATAAAGCCTACAAACTGACTTAAAAATAAAAGATTTCTTCAAAGCAATATCACGAACAAGCATATCCGGTGAGACACGGACATTTGTTAGGTTTTATAATTTTATAGGGCTAATGTAGGTCTCCAATGTTCGTGCCTTAGACACAACTCTTCATGACGGGAGATAATAATTTTACAAGGATGGGATGTTCAGAGGATGTATCTCGGAGTGAAGGTCATTTTTATACATCAGAACCTGACCCCCTACCCCACACAACGATTGAAAGCTACCGATGATACTGACTAGATATACATCTTAGTCTTGCACTTCGGAGTTTGAAAAAAATCATCACAATGTGTGTCAAAGACATACAACATAAGTAATTAGTTAAGGGAGCTTCACACCTCTCTCAGCTTAAACTCCGAGTTGTAGTTCTTGACCATTTCGTAGATCATTTGTGCAAAGTAGCTGTCCATAACAGTAAACCTGTGAGGTAAACAGACAAAGACGACAGTCAAACAACTTATAAAACAAGTTGGAGTCGCTCACCTGTCAACAGAAAATTGATAATTCTCCCGCCATGCCTCACCTATCAATACAAAGTTGATAACTCTACTGCTTCACTTAAAAATTCCTCTTAGGACCTATCGACCCATTCGGCAGATGGAGTTCATATGTTTCTCGACCTCGGCATATACAGGGATAATGTGGTCAGCACTATGCCCAGCCGTCTTTACTTTCCCGAACGTGAGTTAGGTACCTATCAGGGTTGGGTGGACTCAGGGACGTTCCACTAGCTTAAACCCGGATTCGAACTCAAAATTATCGGGTTAGCAGTCTAGCGCTCCACCGGTAAGCCACTCTTCTCTTACCGGTCAGTAAAAAGTTGATAATCCCCCCCCCTCTCTAACCTGTCAGTAAAAAGTTGATCATTTCCGCACATCTACCTATCAATAAAAAGGTGATAATTCCCCCATCTCTCTAACTATGTCAGTAAAAAGTTGATAATTCCCTTACCTCCCTTACCTGTCAGTAAAAAGTTGATAATTCCGCCACTTATCTAACCTGTCAGTAAAAAAGTTGATAATTCCCCCACTTATCTTACCTGTCAGTAAAAAGTTGATAATTCCCTTACCTCCCTTACCCGTCAGTAAAAAGTTGATAATTCCCCCACCTCTCTTACCTGTCAGTAAAAAGTTGATAATTCCCCACCTGTCTTACCTGTCAGTAAAAAGTTGATAATTCCCCACCTGTCTTACCTGTCAGTAAAAAGTTGATAATTCCCTTACCTCCCTTACCTGTCAGTAAAAAGTTGATAATTCCGCCACTTATCTAACCTGTCAGTAAAAAGTTGATAATTCCGCCACTTATCTAACCTGTCAGTAAAAAAGTTGATAATTCCCCCACTTATCTTACCTGTCAGTAAAAAGTTGATAATTCCCCCACCTCTCTTACCTGTCAGTAAAAAGTTGATAATTCCCCACCTGTCTTACCTGTCAGTAAAAAGTTGATAATTCTCCCGTGTCCACTCCCACAAAATGTCCGTGGCTGCGCTGTTTAGGCCCACGATTTGGACGATGCTGAAGAAATCTTGTCTTTTAATGCCGACCTCATCTCTAGCGTACGTCAGCAACCTACAGCAATAACCATGATAGCTGTCAAGTCTTCATCGAACTTGTTATCGTTTACTTTTGTCTAACGGTTTTAGAAAAACCAGAGTATTAAAATGCCAGTCAGGTTCAGAAGGGCGTCGATAATGAGGGCGTTCATAAATGAGGTCGTCGTTAATTGAGGAGCGTGCATAAATGAGGGCGTCGATAGATGAAGGCGTCCCTACATGAGGGCGTCCACAAATAAGAAGCGACCAGAAATGACATGCAGTTATAGCAGAACTTTATCCCCCCGCCCTCCCAATTACCTAGACAAGCCATCACAATAAATCAGACACCCCCACCCCCTTAAAATCACCTCACAACTTTTATCTCTGAAGCTCCCCAAAATTACAAGAAAATTAAAAAATTAACGAAACACGACATGTGGTTCATTTCTAAAACAGAATGGTAGCGTAAATCAAATTGTTCCACAACCTCCCCCTCCACCTACCTTCACACATCACAAGGTCACAAGATGATTTATAATTTGTGTAATTAATTAAACAATGAGTTTTTTTAATGACACCTGTTTATCCTACAAAGATTTGGAATAATGAAAACGGTGACCACTGCAGTTACAAGAGCAATCAACTGTTACCGGTGACCACTACAGTTATAAGAGCAATCAGCTGTTACCGGTGACCACTACAGTTATAAGAGCAATCAGCTGTTATCGGTGACCACTACAGTTATACGAGCAATCACCTGTTATCGGTGACCACTACAGTTATAAGAGCAATCACCTGTTACCGGTGACCACTACAGGTCAGAGAGCAATGAGATCTGTTACCTGCTAATGAGATAAGGATCACGAACGTGACCCAAACCATAGGCCAGGAGTTCCTGCTCTTGGGCCGACGTCTCCTGCTGATAGATGTCCCACATTTTTTCCCAGTCGTCGTCTGAGCCCGCGTTACGCATGCCGTACTGATGGACAGCCATTCTGATGTTCATTGGGGGTCTAGGGATACAAGACATGGCCATATATTGGGGGCCTGGGGATACATGGCCATATATTGGGGGTCTGGGGATACAAGACATGGCCATATATTGGGGGTCTTGGGGATACAAAACATGGCCATATATTGGGGGTCTGGTCGATACATGGCCATATATTGGGGGTCTTGGGGATACAAAACATGGCCATATATTTGGGGCCTGGGGATACACGGCCATATATTGGGGGTCTGGGGATACAAGACATGGCCATATATTGGGGGTCTTGGGGATACAAAACATGGCCATATATTGGGGGTCTGGTCGATACATGGCCATATATTGGGGGTCTGGGGATACAAAACATGGCCATATATTGGGGGTCTGGTGGATACATGGCCATATATTGGGGGTCTGGGGATACAAAACATGGCCATATATTGGGGGCCTGGGGATACATGGCCATATATGGGGGTCTGGGGATACATGGCCATATATTGGGGGTCTGGGGATACATGGCCATATATGGGGGTCTGGGGATACATGGCCATATATTGGGGGTCTGGGGATACATGGCCATATATTGGGGGTCTGGGGATACAAGACATGGCCATATATTGGGGGTCTGGGGATACAAGACATGGCCATATATTGGGGGTCTGGGGATACAAGACATGGCCATATATTGGGGGTCTGGGGATACAAGACATGGCCATATAATGGGGGTCTGGGGATACATGGCCATATATTGGGGGTCTGGGGATACATGGCCATATATTGGGGGTCTGGGGATACAAGACATGGCCATATATTGGGGGTCTGGGGATACATGGCCATATATTGGGGGTCTGGGGATACATGATCATATATTGGGGGTCTGGGATACAAGACATGGCCATATATTGGGGGTCTGTGGATACATGGCCATATATTGGGGGTCTGTGGGATACAAGACATGGCCATATATTGGGGGTCTGGGGATACATGGCCATATATGGGGGGTCTGGGGATACATGGCCATATATTGGGGGGGTCTGGGGATACATGGCCATATATTGGGGGTCTGCTGGATACAAGACATGGCCATATATTGGGGGTCTGGGGATACATGACCATATATGGGGGTCTGTGGATACATGACCATATATTGGGGGTCTGGGGATACAAGACATGGCCATATATTGGGGGTCTGGGGATACATGGCCATATATTGGGGGTCTGCTGGATACAAGTCATGGCCATATTTAGGGGCCAAGTAGAAACAAATAGTGGTCATATATTGGGGGTCTGAAGGATACAAATCATGGCCATTCATTGAGGTACTGTTTGATACTAACTAATGAAACTATAGCCATTTATTGGGGACCTGCAGAATATAAGACATGATCATATATTGGGGGCCGACAGGATACAAGACATGGCCATTTATGTTTTCTACTCAGGTCGACTAGAGGTGATAACAAAACGTCATATCATCATGTTTAAGGAAATTATGGCCGAATGTATTAAAATAGAGTTTTAAAGACTCTACATCACCTGCCCCTGCCAATTAAGTATGTAATGACATTTTATACACAAAATTCAAAAACACAGTTTAATAAAATGAGCTGCCTTCGTTGACTTACTTGACCCCATAGTCCAGCCAGTTTCTGAAGAGTGTAGTGATGTTAGAGATGGCACTTTTTTCTCCAGAGCTGCAAGCCAGATTTATCACAAACCCGCGTAGTAATCTGTTCAAAAATACAAAACCAACTCATTTACTTGTGGAACATTAGTTTCAACAACCATCGTACATGTAGACTTACTTATGAGATATAAACATTAATACATCGTACTGTATAGACTTACTGTATGACCGTGTGTATGAGATATCGTGCGTATGGGCCTACTGTATGAGATATACACATTCATACACCGTACGTATAGAATTACTGTATGAAATATACACATTCATACATCACATTAAATTATTATTGTCTATAAGTTTTTGTTATTCAATTTATGAATTCGAGTTTTTAATGTTTAAATGTTGCTTTGTTTTTAAAATTGTACTATTATTTGTCTAAACGTTATTTTTCATCTGCTGATCGTAAGGTTTAATGTTCTAAATCAGTGGTTCTTAACCTTTTTGGAGGTACCGAACCCCACCAGTTGTATATGCACATTCACCGAACCCTTTTAATTGATCTACTGTCCGAACTGAAACAATCCGAGTCGGATGTGTCTCGACCTCCGCCGAACCCCTAGGACTAACTCACGGAACCCTAGGTTCGATCGAACCCAGGTTAAGAACCACTGGTCAAAAATTTACTTTTAACATCTGAGAATTACATCCGATGATCTTAACGATAATTTCCCTGGTTTGAATATTACAGTCAATTGTCGAAACGTGACTTTTGACGGCTGGAGTAACCTTTGTGAACTTTGACCTTGTCTGAACTGACCTTTCGGTGCTAGAGCCTTTCTCTTCATACCCTAGTCTGTCTACAGCGGGTGCTAATAACTTAATAAGAAATTTCTGAAAAGATTGTGCGAACATAAATGTCAGTGTAAGACAAAGCGTTGGTTTTCAATGTTAGAAGTCAAAGCTTAGATTTACAGTCTTATTGTTCTATGGTCTAGAGCAGGGGTTCCCAACCTTTTTTTTTACTCTAGAGCACATTCTAAAATATCGCACCCCCCCCCCCTTAAACTTTCGATTTGCACCCCCCCCCCCCTCAAATTTTCGATTTGCACCCCCCCCCCCTCCCCTCAAACTTTCGATTTCCATCCCCTTCAACCTTTCAATAATGTTTATGAAAAAAATTCTGTCTCTGTCGAATAGTGAGAGGCGGGCACATACGAATCGTTCGGCGGGCGCCATGGCGCCCATGGGCACGGGTTTGGGAACCCCTGGTCTAGAGTTTAGTGTCGTAAACCGTTAGACTATATGAGATATGTTATGGTCCTGGGCTTGTTGATATTATCTTTTAGTTTAGACTTAATGTCAAATTATTTAATGTTCCTGAGTACCGATGTTGAACTAAAATGTTGCTCACCTTTTTTTTTGTCTAGATTTCTATGTTAGTAGGTCAAAGGTTACAAGTTGTTGCCAATGTAAACAATATCGTCCTAAATTATTTCGCATGGCCAAAAATCGTGTAAAAGTCAGGCCGATTGTAAAACCGCTGCTAAATCTGGTTCTTTAGCATCGAATCGACTACCCTGTCATCTCAAAAGATTCAATAAACTCAAATCAGTTTTAAAAAAATACATCAACTTACCTTCCAGACGGAGAATTCAGGAACTTTTCTCAGCATGCTTGTTACATAGCTGGCCCCCTTTACCATAGCAACCGACCAGGGGACGTAATGCGTCTCATACTGCAGGTAACTAAGCATATCCAGGGGAATTTCATAGGAGAGTTTCCCGCTTCCTGCTAGGGCGAAGGCGTCATGCAGAAGTCCAGCTCGGTCAGATGGAGTGAGGCGCCACTCCTGTAAAGTATAAAGGCTGATGACGCAGGTTGGTCGAACCATGGTGAGCAGCCAATTAAAATGGTTTGTAAATACCGTCTATTACTAAAGTTCTTACAATATTTACTAAGTTATTAACGGCATTTATTTAATTAATAAATGCAAGTAATAATTATTGACTAATATTAAGGAATAAAATATAAAATATTTTTAAAAAACCCACACAAAACCTAACAAATAATAAAAAAGAAAAAAAAAAACAACGACCTAATGAAATATTTGACAGTGATATATTTGAGATCTGGATAACTTTACATCTTAAAACTAAGTCTTCCTGTATTGTAAAATGAGATAACTAAATCTACATACCTAAACGGTTGTGGTAGAAAGGGTGATGACATAAAAAATGTTGTATTTATGTTGTGTACGGTTAGGTGACAGGTGTATCATAAAAACAAAAGTTACCTACCGTGTTGGGTGTGGTGGTCAAGTGTTGAGCAAAGCTGGACCACATCTCATCAGGGTAGAGAACGATGTAGTAGCCCCCGTTGTCCACGTTAAATTTAATCCAACAGTCACGGGCGTTCGTTATGGTCATATTTGCTGGGTTGTTAATTCAACATTTATTAAAATACAGCTAATGAGCAAAAGATTTCACGAACCAAGTATCCGATATACAAACTATACCATGGACAATTGATTAGGGGGATGCAATAATCTTGAGGGTAAATAACAGAAAGTCAATACATCTAGGAATCATTGTTTGCTTGACAAAAAATACCCTATTCACAAAATATCACGTAGATAAAGTATGCAGAACAAAAAAAACTAATTGAAAAAATATCTTGAAAACAAGAAAGCATTGATAAAGATACCATAGCGACAAAATAACTAATTGAAAACAAATCATGTGTCTGATGGACTAAGGTCTTCGAACTTCTTTTCCTTCTTCGTTTTTAATTGTAATCTTGGACAGGATATCCTCAAAAAAAGTATTACGTGTCAGCTTGTAATGCGCCATTTAGGCCGTTGACTCCGATTTCAGCCTGCTTTTCTTTATGTATTTGCTTCCATAGCCTCTGTCTTACCAAGAAAAAACTACAAGGCAGCAGTTGTTGTCTCTCCTAGATCAGGGGTCGGCAACCTTTTGAGACGGAAGAGCCAATAGCTACAATATTCAAAATTTTCTAGTTTCTAAAGGGTCACTAACATTTTTATTTCAATATTTGGTATTTGATTAGGATTAGGTAAATTAATTGTATTTTTTATTTAAAATAAATACCCTTCAATATGAAATAATATTTATTCATATAAAAACATACACATGTTTCGTCAGAATAATGAACTTAGTAATCAAATAATATAACTATAGGACCATCGCAATCCACTTTAGAAGCTGTTAACTATGTTTTCCTTTCTTTCATGATATCACCGGCTCAGAAGGTGTCTCCCATTAGCCAGGCAGGCCATCACACGACAACTCCGACTAACTGGCTTGGATAATGGTTGATTACCGTGTACCGGTCGCTTTTTAATCTCGCCAGGCTTATCTTCCATCCCACAGAACACAGGGTAAACTCGCACCCCACCGTCCTGTACCCGTCTCAACAGTAGGAAGCTAATAACTAAAAAAACTACGTCACTGAGCAGAGGCGTATCCAGGTTTTCGTTGTAGGGGGAGCGAAATGAGCAAAAAAAGGCGCCGAATTTTTCAACACGTTCTATATACGTGTATTATATATATATATATATATATATATATATATATATATATATATATATATATATATATATATATATATATATATATATATATATATATATATATACATATATATATATATATATATATATATATATATATATATATATATATATATATATATATATATATATAAATACACTACAACCAAAAACAATAAACGCAACACAATCTGTTTTGTAATTCTTGTAAAAACAAGTTAATTAAAAAAGTCTAGTGACATTTGTGCGCAATTTCCTTATGTTATCTAAAAATAGCTCTGACGTATAATGTTGGGGTGCGTTCAAGCTAGAAGAACAATCGGTTTGTAGGTGTTTATGTAATTTTAAAATTTGTGACCGAACGAGAGAATATTTTTGAAAACTTTCTTCGGCAATATTGTTCTAAATTATGACAGGAATCGATTGGTACATGTTTCAAGTCGCTAAGTGGTCTGGTTGCCGAGATATGGGCCAAAAACTGCTTTTTTTCGAGATTTTTTGGCTTTTCTGGGAAATCCATGAAAGAAACCCGGAATTTTTATGGCCTATGTTCATCCTCGTAACTTGCTTAACATAATTGCTTTTGGAACTAGTCATCGATATTGCTTCGTTGAGGAGGAGATACGACTTAAAGCTGCGGACACACATTCATCCATCCATCCATCCATCCATCCAGAAATGACGGGTTAATAAACGCAATTCTCCAGAATGGAAATTGCGCTAAAAAATTTAACATTCCTGGGACATTAATTAAGACAAGCGAAATAGGGGAAATAATCACGCTCTTTATATAAATAGGTATATCTACATATTTAATTATAAATGTCAAAACAAATCAATAATTACTTTAGAATCTAATATAGTTGTTTAACAGTTTTCGTGTTTTCAAATATTTTTTTTTGTCTACAATCAGAATTAAATATACCGTCATTATAAATGCTAAAGTATTACAGCATAATGAAGGTTGGTATAAAAACACCCTTTAAATACTATAGAAAAGCATCCGAAATAATAGCTTACATCTAACTAAATTATCGGTCGTTTAGTTCAGATCATACATCCTTTAATTAACTACTGCTTTTTGTGTTCTTTGAAGATCTTTTTAACATAGTGATCTGGTATAGGTTAGATCACTGTATTGATCACACACCTTTTTACTGGTAATTGCAAAAACAATATTCACAGAGTTTTACCTGTTGCAAAAGCTATGATTCTGGCGGCATGGGACTTTGGTACATCGTTATAAGTTTTCCCATATGTACTTAACAGATCAGTTCGGGGTGAGTTGGGGGGGGGGGGGGTTCAACTTCATTCACCACTGTCCGGTCACTTTAGGTCAATTATCCAACCCAGTGTATACCTAGGTGTGACATTAATGTCGCTCTACACAATTTAGGTGGTGAGGTGTGTGTGTGGTGAACAGAGTGAACATAGCGTCAGTTTTTAGATGACTGTTCTAAACATACATATTCAATTGCACATATATACTGATTCAGAAATAGATTTAAATAAGTAGCAGTGGTATTATGACACTATTTTTTTTACAGAGAGGTCCATGGGGGGAGGGGGGTTGTAACTGTTTCATATAATTTGTAATCGTAATCACTATCGCCCAAACTGTCATAATACTACTACTTCATCGTGATGACGTTGTTGACCTTGTCAAAATGTCCCCACCACTACGCAGTTTGCCCATAAGTAAATTTAAATAGAGGTGCCACATAAGTTGTATTTGTGTCTGTATTGTAATTTTTTTAAAATTAATTACACGATCCAAACTGTATATATGAAGTAATTATGTGTGAAGATTTATGTATAATATTTTCTAAATCAATTATTCTGAAGCAAATACATTATACAGTTGCCTTAAACTTAACACCCCTCTTACCAAGTGGTACTACCCGTTAAGGTTTTTTAAAATTGCAATGCATCGTAATAGTTATTTTTAGAATGACAAACTTGATACAGCTGTTAATACGTGTTATAAATGTAGACGCTACTAGAATAGTACAATTCTGCTTAGTTGCTGCATGAAAAGAAATCTTGTGATTTACATAGATGTGCCGACCAAAAATAATTTTTAACAGAAAACATTGTTTAAAACTTTGAGTTTAAAATGTTTCCAAAAAGGCGCCACTATGCTGAAAATGGCCAGAGGGGGAGCGGCCGCTCCCCCTGCTCCCCCCCCTGCGTACGCTACTGTCACTGAGGTTAAATTGATAATTACTCACAGATAAGGACATGCATTCTGAATAACAATAACATTCCCCATTTAACTATATTCGAAAAAGTCGGCACTTGGCCAGAGGCGAGCATGGAATTGTTGCCACGGGGCTGTCTGCTGTGTGCCTGGGCTTGGCGCCCAAACGGCTGTCAGATGTCCCTGTACTCTCTACTGCACCTAAGCTCACTGTTTTCTAATGCGTGTTTTTATCCTGTTTAACGTTGAGTTTCTTTACAGTAAAATATTTGCTGCGAATTTTGAAAATGAAAAATATAACTATTAATATCTGTATTAGGATCTGGAGATCCGCATCTTGACAGCAAAAGAGCCGCATCTGGCTCGCGAGCCGCAGGTTTTCCGACCCCTGGACCACACGTATTATTCTTAAATGGGTGGTAGATGAGGGCTAGAGCTAAAAAATTACTTCCCCTGTGTAAATTCCCCCACCCCTCCCCTAACCTGAAAGAAATCCAAGGGAGGCAATTATAATTAAAATACTAAAACCAACACTTAAGTTAAAAAAATAATGCTTTGATGATTAAATCAAGCATGTTAATTTCTATTTTATATATTTATTAAAACTTTCTATAAATATTTATGTATATGTTTCAACTATATATAGATATAAATTTAAAAATTAAACATACTCAGAAATGTGAAACATAATTTTTTTTTATTTTAAAGTATTTTTATAAGTAAGGTTGGAAAAATGTATTAATATGTGCAAATCGGAAAGTTGAATATTAATTTTGGATCCCCTAACACGGGACACTTAATAACATCAATGGAGTCCTATATACTTTCTGGCAGTGGTGTGGCGACTACCAAGGTAAACAAATACCACAGCCACTCGAAATCCAGGATCCCCCAGCCCCAGAGCAAATGTATCTAGAAACTCGAAATTTTAAATTTTGTGTTAGTTCATTTATGTTAAGAAGAAGTACCTGGGATCGTACCCTGGTACGTCAATTTCAAGTCAACGCAGAGGTGTCGCGAGGCGGGGGTGGGGGGTGGGGGTGTGCGTACGGCACCGGGTGACACCATTTAGGGGGGGGGAGTGACACCAAGACGAAAAAATTCAAGATATTTGGAATAAATGTTTAATTTTGCCAGTTCAAACTGGAAAATTTACAGTGAAAAGGGGGGGGGGGGGACGACGGGGACGAGGGGACGACGACACACCATGAGGTGCCGCTCCGGGTATCACCCGACCCGGCAACGCAACTGATTCTACCACAGTTATTTTGCCAGTTCAAACTGCAAAATGAACAGTGGAAAAAAGGTGAGTAGGGTGGAAACCATGAGGTGCAGTATCGGGTGACACCCGACCCAGAAACGCCACTGTGTCATTATGTCAGGCTTAACTTAGACTACCATAATGTTAGGTTGGCTGAATAAACGTACAAAAAAATAACATTCTCAAACAACTTCAAGAGCTTTGATACAAGTCTAGATCAGGGGTCGGCAACCTTTTGAGACTGGAGAGCCAAAAGTTACAATTTATAAACGTTCCCAGTTTTTAAAGAGCCACTAACATTATTTTTTTTCAATATTTTGATATGGATTAGGGAAATAAATTTTATTTATGATTTTAAATAAATAGCGGGAAATATTAACTAATATTGATTCATATAAAACATACAAATGTTTCGCACTATGATAAAATTAGCATTCAATTTTTTTAAACTAAAGGACAATCCGAATCCGCTGCAGAAGTCAATAACATTTTTTTCTTTCTTTACGGACTCCACTGGCTCAGAAGGTGTCTCCCATAGCCACGGCGCCCCCAGAACGACCAACCCCCAACTAACTGGTTTGGGTATCGGTGTGATTACTGTATCAGTCGCTTCTGTCCTTCGGTTCTCACAGGGCTAATCTTCCACCCTACTCGTACCCTACAGTCCAGTATCTGGCTCAACATAATAACTAAAATACTTCGTCTCTTTGGGACGGAGTAATCTAGCGGTAGAGAGCTGGACTGCTAACCCGTAAGTCTCGAGTTAGAATCCGGGTACAAGTCCACCCAACTCTGATGGGTACCTAACTCACGTTGGGGAAAGTAAAGGCGGTTGGGCATAGTGCTGTCCACACCATCTCTTCATATGCCGAGGTCACTTGCAATATAGACCGTCAGGTTTGAAAAAGGGAACTTTACTTTTTACTTCGTCACTCAGGTCAATTTAATGAATACGGACAGGTAGAATAATGCATTCTGTATAAAATAACATTCCCCATTTAATGATATTCGAAAAGTCGGTACTTGGGCAGTGGCTAGCATGGAATTGTTGCCGTGGGGCTGGGCCTGGTGCCCAAGCGGCTGTCAGCTCTCTGTACACTTTCTACCTCACCTACTCTCATTGTTCTCCGATGAGTGTGTTAATTCTGTTTAAGTTAAAGTTGTTTTTGTTTTTTACAGTATAATATTTTTTATAAGTTTTGAAAATGAAGTAATGTCATATTAATATATGTACATGGAGCTGGAGAGCCGCACCTTGTCATCAAAAGAGCCGTATGCGGCTCGCGAGCCGCAGGTTGCCGACCCCTGTCCTAGATGGGTTACTGTCCCCAGGTATCGAGCCTTATCTACCCGTAGGTTCGAACACTGAATGTTTCGATTTAGTAATCAAGAGCTTTACCGACCCGACCACTCCGACCCCAGGTATTCGAACTGTGACCCCCATCTATGGTCTTGTTTACCGTATAGACTGGCCATGTGTCTTACCGTCCTGTAAATCCATGTAGAGCGTCCCATTGGCACCACTGCACGTCCTGTAGTCCAACGACACCACCCACCTGTAGCTGAAGTAGAATTAATGGAAGACATTCGTTTTTGTCGCTACAGGCTTCTCACCTAATGTCGTTGTTAGGGCGGTGACATAACAAAATAGTATCCCAAGACAAAATATCATAGGACAATTTATCCCAAGACAAAATATCATAGAACAATAATCCCAAGACAAAATATCACAGGACAATTTATTTAAAGTTAAAATATCGCCGGACAATTATCCCAGGGCAAAATATCACAGGACAAAATATCTCAGATAATATACGGCAAACAAAATATCTGAGACCAAGTGTCTTAGATAAAAAAACACAATGTCTCAAAAGTAAAAAGCTGCGTAGAGTCTATAGATGAAAACAAAAGCTGCCGTGTTTGGATACTTATAGTATAATAAAATATTTTACCCTGTCACAAATATACTTGCACTCTTCATATCTGACCCTCATTCACAAATAAACTTCACATTTTAATGTTTAGTAATAAAAATATAATTATAATTTCTTCCTCTCAGCTAGAATACAGTGTTAAAGATTCTTCAGAAAAAAAAACAAATGATTTTAATACAGAATTGAACAGCAGTAATAATAATTGACACTATGTGGCAATGGTGTACTTACCCGAATGGAGAGTTGCGAGGGTCGGCAGTTGACTCAGGGTTGGCCAAAAATCTGGCTTGTTGGGCATGCAGGATTGTCTGTCCTTGGTCCGTGTGCTGGGCGGTGATGTTGATGTAGGGGAAGCCATCTTGCATGATCCAGGTTTCCATCAGATGTTTGACATTATGGCTGCCGTCTGCCTGCCAGATGATAGGACATCGTTGGTTAACTTAAGGCAGCACTCTGGTAGGTCACAATAGGCTCAAAACGTTTTCACTTTCTTTTTTTAAATAATTAATTTGAATCTTTGTGTGTGTGTGTGTGTGTGTGTGTGTGTGTGTGTGTGTGTGTGTGTGTGTGTGTTTAATACATATGATTTAATGTAGTTAAAACATATTAATTAAAATATAATGTAAAGGAGACAGTAAGCTGTCTGGTTGATGCAACTTAGTGACGAATGTTTAATATATAAACTCGGACCTGCTGGGTATTGGGGAAAGTGAAGTAGAGTTCACCTGTTTCTGTAACTTAAGAATGTAAAGTGGTCGAGCGGTCACTGTAACACCCAGCCACAATTATTTTTTTTCCTACATTGAGTCAGGTACCAGTTAGAGCTGAGTAGACTCAGGTAAGTATTGCGGACTTGATTCTTGAACCCTAACTGGAAACCTACTGACCACCTACTTCAGATAGACACTGCCACAGGTCATCCGTTTTAGCATTGCTGAATTGAAACTTGTTCAAATATTTCTGTAAACACGAAACGAATGCAAGTTTAATTATTATGTATATTACTACATATAAATTAACTAAAAAGTAATAAACTATTATTTCTCAATACAAAACAAAATTTCACATATTTTAATGTAGGAAAAGAAATTAATATATGTGTACAGTGATTTACCGAAATACCGGAGTAGAAATTATCATGTCCTATTATAGCCTTCAACATCCGGGTAACTGAAGATCCCTGTTGGAAAATGGCCCAATCGTAAAATATAATTTCCAGTTGTATAATTCAACAAATTATCTAACAGATATTAGGATTTCTAGATCTATGTATTTTTCATGTTTAGTTGTGAGAAAAATGTTTGAAATATCCAATGACAAGGTCCTGACCTTGGAGTACGAGATGTCATCAAACACAGACGAGATTTCGTTGGGTTCAACGATATTTGCAACAATGGGATGGGACGCCAGCTCGCTGTCTTGTTTCATCACTTTAAACACGTTGGTGGCCAGAAACTGGGTCATCTAAACACGTACAGCACACTAGTGATCAACATCTCATCAACAATACAGTTACACACTACGTTCCATAAACAACAGTTAAGCATTATATTCTTTAAATAGCAGAATTAAACAATATATTATTCCCTAAATAGCAGTGAGACACTTAATTAAAAAAACATCACATTTACACACCATATTCCCTAAACAACAGAGCTATACACTGTATTCCCTTAACAGTTGCACACTATATTCCCTAAGCAACATAGTTACACACTACATTTCCTAAATAATAAACACTATATTCCCCTAACTACATAGTTACATATAGTATGTAACGCTTTAGGGAGTAGATTGAGTTATATACTATATTCCCTTAACAATAGATTCACACACTATATTCCCTAAAAAAAAATTCATAAAAAACGTTTTAATAACAAGCTTTTATGTAATGATGCACTAAAAAGTAGAAAATAAATTATAGACTACTATTTAAATAACTATAAAGAAAAGCGTGGGTCACTTTAGTATCTATTGGATACCTTCACTAATGTTAAGGAAGACACCCACGCTTTTCTTTATAGTTATTTAAATAGTAGTCTATAATTTATTTTCTACTTTTTAGTGCATCATTACATAAAAGCTTGTTATTAAAACGTTTTTTATGAATTTTTTTTTTCAGTACTTTACATGTTTTATTTGCAATAGTGTTACAAGACTAAAAACCATTGCGCGTCTATTGAACGTGATAGCGCAGCTATTAAACCTGCTTGAACGTGATGACGTATGTGGTGTGGTTGGATAGACATGCCTACTAATTCGGTCCAAATTTTAATTAATTCATAAAAAATTAATTAGGCATCCAATTAAGTCAAATTTAGATTCAGATTGCATTGTCTTCATGTCTTGACCCACGTGCCAACTGTGAATCGTATCGGTCAAGTAGAACTGTCCGAATTTTCACTCCTGCGTTTCCATCTAGACAGACAGACTGTCGACAGACTGTCGACAGAGGAAGTGAGTTAAATAAAAGCTTGTAAAAACAGCTACACAACATAATTACACATAGAAGTTACACCCATAACCATTACATTCCATAACCAACAGAGCTACTCAGTAAATTCCTCAACCACGAAGACTGCTAAATAATTCACCAAACACAACATTTGACAAGAGTGAAGTCATCTAAACAATGTGTTTGACTCTTATTTTTCAGCAATTAACCAACCCTCTGTTTGCCAATTGTGTTTTGAAGGACTGTCTCCCATTCCATAACCTTTGCCATTCTTCAATTAAAAAAAAACTTTTTTTTTTTAAACTGAAGGCGTGCCTGAATTCTAAATGTCCAAATACGACATTTGTTGTTTGTTTAAACCACCAAATGTTCTAGACAAGTTTTCGTGTTGTACAGTACACTACTCACACTATCCCAGTCGGGCTCAAGGTCAAGGACCCCCTCATACTCCAGGAAACTGGCCATTCCTTCATTCAGCCAGAGGTCATTCCACCAGTCCATGGTGACCAGGTTACCGAACCACTGGAACAAAGAGACAAATTAGGGTCAGAGGTCATTCACCGGGTTACCAGAGGTCATTCCACCAGTCCATTGTGACCAGGTTACCAAACCACTGGAACAGAGAGACAAATTAGGGTCAGAGGTCATACACCGGGTTACCAGAGGTCATTCCACCAGTCCATAGTGACCAGGTTACCAAACCACTGGAACAGAGAGACAAATTAGGGTCAGAGGTCATTCCACCGCTATACAGTACCCAGATTACTATTGATGGTAAATTTATAGTTACAATTTTTTGCTAATATTACAGACCTGGTGAGATATCTCATGTGTGATGGCCTAGTCAGATATCTCATGTTATATTAACACACCTGGTGAGATATCTCATGTGTGATGGCCTGGTCAGATATCTCATGTTATATTTACAGACCTGGTGAGATATCTCATGTTATATTTACAGACCTGGTGAGATATCTCGGTTATACAGACCGAGTGCGATATCTCATGTTATATTTACAGACCTGGTGAGATATCTCATGTGTGATGGCCTGGTGAGATATCTTATGTCGGTTATACAGACCTGGTGAGATATCTCATGTTATATTTACAGACCTGGTGAGATATATCACGTCGGTTATACAGACCTGGTGAGATATCTCATGTGTGATGGCCTGGTGAGATATCTCATGTTATATTTACAGACCTGGTGAGATATCTCATGTCGGTTATACAGACCTGGTGAGATATCTCATGTTATATTTACAGACCTGGTGAGATATCTCATGTCGGTTATACAGACCTGGTGAGATATCTCATGTCGGTTATACAGACCTGGTGAGATATCTCATGTCGGTTATACAGACCTGGTGAGATATCTCATATTATATTTACAGACCTAGTGAGATATCTCATGTCGGTTATACAGACCTGGTGAGATATCTCATGTTATATTTACAGACCTGGTGAGATATCTCATGTCGGTTATACAGACCTGGTGAGATATCTCATGTGTGATGGCCTGGGCAACATGCTCTTGGTAAGCGAGTGCTGTCGAGTTGGAGTTATACAAAAGTGTGGATTCCCGGAAAGTGATCAGCCCCCAATGTTCCGTAGCTCCGGATTCATATTCGGGAATTCCAATGAGATCTGCATTGAAAATAGCAAAACACGTTTTACTGCAACAAGGTGTAAGATTAGTTCAAGTTCCGAAAAGTTGCTCTGTACTTGTTTGTAACTGTACTAAATGCTACACGAGAAGTTGTATTGTGTTTTTTAGACTTTGACATTATTTGTTTTACATTGATAAGAATTTATAAGTTAGAAGCTTTAAGATAGAGTACCTAGTTTAGGGAAAGGGTAGCCGATGTTAAATTAAATTGTTTAATATTGATAAGAATTTATAAGATAAAAGCTTTAAGATAGAGTACCTAGTTTAGGCAAAGGGTAGCCGATGTGAAATAAATTCGTGAATTTCTCCAGTGCGTGTTGGGCGACTCCAAGAGCGTATTCGGTTTGTTCCAGTCTGTCTGGTGCCGAGAAAACACGGATCTAGGGAATGGAAGAACAATAGAAAACACGGATCTAGGGAATGAAAAAACAATAGAAAACACGGATCTAGGGAATGGAAGAACAATAGAAAACACGGATCTAGGGAATGGAAAAACAATAGAAAACACGGATCTAGGGAATGGAAGAACAATAGAAAACACGGATCTAGGGAATGGAAAAACAATAGAAAACACGGATCTAGGGAATGGAAAAACAATAAAAAACACGGATGTAAGGAATGGAGAAACAATAGAAAACACGGTTTTAAGAAATTGAAAAACAATCGAAGAGGTGGATCTGAGAGGTAAGACAATACGGATCTGATAAGGAAGAAAACTCAGAGTGAAGTTTGCCAACTTATTAGCTACAACCATCACATAATTTAACATGGGTGACCACTAGTCTATATAGTAGCAGTTTATGTAAGTACATATATATATAAGTAACATGTTAGTCTACATGTTGGCAGTGTAGGAACATATATGTGGTACATACAGGCAACACACTAGCCTACGTTTTAATCGTCTGTGCACATATATGTGTGTCATAGAGGCAACCTGCTTGCTTACATTTTAGTCGTGTGTGCATATGTGTGTCATGCAAGTAATACACTAGCCAACATTAAAACGTGTTCACACACACACACACATATATATATATATATATATATATATATATATATATATATATATATATATATATATATATATATATATATATATATATATATATATATATATATATATATATATATATATATATATAAGTATGTTACACTTACCGGTAATCCACTGCCCGAACTTATACTTGTGTGCGGGAAATCACACACAACAAAACAAACAAGGTATGTGCTCATTCTGACCGATCTTTGAAATTTGGTGACCACCAAATCTGGCGCGCCCCATTCAGTGGGCTGAAACAAAAACTGTAATCACTACCCGATGAATGTCGGTGATATGCAGTCTATAAGATAGAATATTTATATACCATCAATAAAGTAATGCAACATCAGTCATTTTATGTACTGGTTTCGTTACCCATATAGAGGAGAGTAAGTCGTGTCGTGGTTAGATCTAAGCACTTAGTAGGCCTACATATGTCATATACTACGACAGTACATATGTCATATACTACGACAGTACATATGTCATAGACTACGGCAGTACATATGTCATACACTACGGCAGTACATATGTCATATACTACGGCAGTACATATGTCATATACTACGGCAGTACAAATGTCATATACTACGGCAGTACATATGTCAAATACTACGGCAGTACATATGTCATACACTACGGCAGTCCATATGTCATACACTACGGCAGTACATATGTCATATACTACGGCAGTACATATGTCATATACTACGGCAGTCCATATGTCATACACTACGGCAGTACATATGTCATACACTACGGCAGTACATATGTCATACACTACGGCAGTACATATGTCATAGACTATGGCAGTAAATATGTCATTGACTACGGTAGTACATGTCATAGACTAGGGTAGTACATATGTCATACACTACGGCAGTCCATATGTCATATACTACGGCAGTCCATGTGTCATACACTACAGCAGTACATATGTCATAGACTAGGGTAGTAAATATGTTTTCATTTACAATCATAAGTCAAAGGCGCATCGTCCTGCGCAACTTTTCAATTTTTTTGCACGGAGTTTCTGTTAGAAAGCGATGCTCGTCTTCTAAAGATGACCACTGGTCTGCTAAGAAATTAACATGTAGATTACATTTGGCTTTACACTGATCCGTCTTTTCAAGGACTATCTTTGTATCTGTGTCGAACTTTAGCATTGAGATTAAACTCTTTGACTGATTCCTAAAATAAGCATGTCCAAAAATCAATTCAACGAATGCGCATTTTTGGTTGCCTATTTTTTTTAATCATGTGACAGTATAGCATGAAGTAAAAATAAGTACTCACGTTTCCAACCTGGGGCATGTTGGACAAGGCGATGTACTCTGGTCTGTGGATGAGGGTGATGGTAAACTCGGCCTTGATGTTGGGCTCGTCAAAACACGGGAAGGCTCGGCGGGCGTACGTGGGTTCGAACTTCGAGGCCGCCAAGTTCCTGGTGTCAAAAGGTTGACAGTGGACAGATACCTTACACATGGATACAATGCTCACAGGATGATTGTCTCATGTGATGTGTTAATCAGTGTACAAATATAGGTTGTAGAATGAACAGCAGTTTTATTAAATACGAGCCGACCCGCGGCGTGTCATACGCCGCTATTTAGTTGTTTTATTTTCTACTTTTCAGTAATTCATAATTTGTGAATTCGACAGTACCAATGCTGCTATTGAAAATATCTATATAAATAATTCTCTTCTTGGAGACGCTAGAAAACACCAAGCTGTAGGCCTAGCAGTCGCCTCTCTTCCTCTCTACGCATATCGCAACCACCCCCACCCCCTACATTGTCTGGTGAGCTGTGGTTCGCGCTAAATGTTTACTATCGTAGAGCCGGGTTTAGTGACGCCTATTAGGGGCAGATAATTTAGTTTGAAACTATTTTAAACTTAGGTGAGGTAACTAAGAGGAGGCTGCTTTCAAGGTGGGGGAGGGGGGGGGGGGGGGTTGGGGGAAAGGAGGGTTTTAGTGTTTTAAAGCAAATATTTTCAGTGACAGCATTAATACTGTCGAATTCACAAAGTATGAATTACTGAAAAGTAGAAAATAAAACAACTAAATAGCGGCGTATGACACGCCGCGGGTCGGCTCGTTTGCTTTCAAACACCATCAGTAGATCGTTAAGGACGATACCCCCCCCCCCCTCCCGTCTTTTGCCCGACCCCCCCCCCCCCCCCGTGAAAGTAAACTCCTCTTAGTTACCTCCCGTAAGTTTAAAATCGTTTCAAACTATAAATATATATATATATATATATATATATATATATATATATATATATATATATATATATATATATATATATATATATATATATATATATATATATATATATATATATATATATATACGTGTGTGTGTGTGTATAACATGTGTATATCTTGGGTAAATTAGTTCCTGATCTACTATATACCTGGTTTGACCATTCAGCGTATTGAGATAACTACTTTTGTAAAAGCCCACGAGGGTTTTATTGAGGGTGCCTTGAAACTGCAAGGTCAGCTTGACAAAGCCCATGACGTCACGTCCGACCTGTATGACGAAGAACTCGTGCGGCGTGTGGTAGAAGGTCCTGATGACGTCAATCTCATCTCCCGTCGTGTTGTCTGTCACGTGGGTTCCGGTCACGTTCATGTAGGTCGTGTGCACGTGCAGGAGGATGTAGCGGGTTGGTGACGTCACGTTCACCTACTCAAGCGTACAGTAGAGGTAAAAGCTTTCGAAGCAAATATTTTTTTTAAATTTAATTACAATTAAATTGCTTTAACTTGCAAAAACCAAAAATAAATAAATAAATAATATTGACGTCTACCATCATTAATTGTTTTATTGAACAGTTTTGTCCAAAAACCAGTTCCATTTTTTTTGTTAAATGTATTCAGTGTTTACATCCGCAACATGACGACAATACAGTTGACTTTGGAATATGGACCTCTAGCGTATTAAAAAAATATTTGATGGTTCTTTGATGACAATCAATTAATTTGAACTCGATATTTGATGAGTAGTTCCCAGAAAATGCGCCATCGAAAAACTGCGCAAAAAGAAAAAATGCGCAGATACAAACTAATTGTTTTACTACGCTTCAATGTTGTCGTATTTCGTTGAAATATGTTTCATTATGCTTCAGTGTAGATTCAGTCACTCTTTGGTAAAGTCTATAAACGCTCGATTTATCAAAACAAAAATGCCATTGCGCACTTTTTGTGCCCAGTTTTCCGTTGCGCACCTTTCCAGTTACCTCAATGAGTTTTAGACTTGTTTTATTGTTTAAGTTGAGTTTTAAATTTTAAAAATGATCAGTGCCGTCTTTCGTTTAAAACGTGGGGACAGGTTGATGAAGACAAACTTTAATTACTCTCAAATCTAACGCGGTCGCGTGCGGCATTTGGACACATTGTCTAATGACCGCGCGCAATTGATTCTTAGCTTTACCCACCTCTATGGTAGAATTTCCAGAAAATTCTCCGAACCCGTCGTAAAAATTTGGAAAGAGCGTGACGTCATAATGAACCGGGATGACGTCACGCGGTAGTCTGGTAGACAGCCAAGGCTTTTCCTTAATTTCCTGTAACACGAAAGGCCAAGATTAAAGTTTAAAAAAATTCTAACTATAACGACGTTGACTAGTGACTACAACCAAAAACCGAAAACACCTGTAAGACTGGGTAAAATCTCGACGTTTTGTAGCCATCTGTAGGTGTGAGTAACTTTTTGGACTTAAATGCTGGTGAAACTTACCGGGTTTACATGCTGGTTACACTTACCTGGGCTTACTACTGTTAAAAACACCTGGTAACACTTACCTGGACCTAAATGCAGGTAGCCTTTACCTTTGCTTACATGCAGGTAACACTTACCTGGACTTACATGCAGGTAACACTTACCTGGACTTACATGCAGGTAACACTTACCTGGACTTACATGCAGGTAACACTTACCTGGGCTTACTACTGTTAAAAACACCTGGTAACACTTACCTGGACCTAAATGCATGTAGCCTTTACCTTGGCTTACATGCTGGTAACACTTACCTGGACCTAAATGCAGGTAGCCTTTACCTTTGCTTACATGCAGGTAACACTTACCTGGACTTACATGCAGGTAACACTTACCTGGACTTACATGCAGGTAACACTTACCTGGGCTTACTACTGTTAAAAACACCTGGTAACACTTACCTGGACCTAAATGCATGTAGCCTTTACCTTTGCTTACATGCAGGTAACACTTACCTGGACTTACATGCAGGTAACACTTACCTGGGCTTACTACTGTTAAAAACACCTGGTAACACTTACCTGGACTTACAGACATGTAGCACTTACCTGGACATACAGACAGATAACACTTACCTGGACATACAGACAGGTAACACTTACTAGACTTACTGCTGAAACACTTACCTCGGCTGTGTAAGTTCTTCTGGTGGGTTGTTGAGTCGATGACGTAGTGGATTCCACCTGACCATCAACGCTCCCATTGCCTGATGCCAGAGCTTTGGTTCCAGTCGAGCTAGCGTAGGCGTCTTTGGTCAGTTTCCAGACGACAGCACCGACCGCGACGGCCGCGATGACGGAGATGATGACCACCACCGCCAGACAACACTTTAACTTTTTATTCTGGTTACCTCCCATGATTCCTGTCTGTAAAAATAAATTAATTAAAGGGAGATAACTAATTCATAATTCTCATATTGAAAAAACTCAATGTTTTGAACTGCTCCATTCTCCAGACCGGTGCAATTACTTCTGTGAGAGATTTGCTAAAGTATTTTTCTGTGTAAATTGTGCTTGTGTAGCGAGTGTGAACGAACCTAGTTGGTTTACCTAGCTTTACGAACTTAAACATTGAATCAAACACTCTATTGTAGCGGAAGATAAGCAGAGTAGCACTTGTATAAAAATTCCTTTTGTCAGTTCATCTAAAGTTTCCGTGTCAAAATACGTGTACGTGTATCTGTGCAGTGGCGACAGTTGGGGAGGTGACGGGTTGGGGATGGGGGGGGGGGGGGTCTGGGGGGGGGGGGAGGAGACACACGGGACCCCCCCCCCTCCCCAACTTACAAGATGTCCTAAGTTAAATTAAAGCGACGGACGGTCAAGTATATGAGTATATACATATATCCTTACTATTTTTAAATTTGAAATGTCATATTAACAATAGTGGTATGCTTAAAACCGTTATGGAATATATATAAAACAGATATAAGTTAGAAATATAGATCATGCATATATATATATACATTTTCCCCACGAACGTATGTTTTAGTATGTTTATACGCGATTAATTTTTGGGCCTATTCCCTACCTCCGCCACTGTATGTATGTATGCGTGTTTGTATGTTTGCCCCTGATGTTGTGACCCAGCAGTTATCTCTTTATCTTTCAGACAAAAACTTCAACTAGACGAGAGAATCCACAACCCCTATCCTTCTCTTAGAAGTCGTCATGTCATCAAATCTTGTTCAGTGTTTTAAATCCTTCGAATTCTTACACGTCTTAGTTACGTTAATTAGTTGTAACTGTTGATTTGTTGTAAAGGAACTCTCATTATAAATTTAATTTGTTAAAAATAAAAACTTTTCGTGTAAGCAGTACCAACCAAATAGACAATTTGTCTCCCTTGTGTCCAAAACAAACTGTATTTGTATCTATACTTTTTTTTTAGCTTTTGCATGAGTGTCGCATTTAACCTGTCTTTATCTATGCATTATCTGCACCCCATTCCCTAAGAGGAACACGTTGCCGGGTACGCTATCTACAAAACATAATCCACTTGGGTACACCCAATACCAAACCTAAACCGAATAGATAAATCGCGTTTAGTTACATTTCAAACTTCATTCCTGACACCATTTTGGTTTGTGGAGGATGGAGGGAACAAAGAGGAGGCGGTGTCCGTGGGACCTCATCTTCCTGTCTATTTTCTTTATCGTCGTGGCGGTGGCCGAGGGTGTCCTGGTCTGGAAGTTGACCAAAGACGCCTACGAGACGTCAGACAGCCGGACGTGTGCGACGTCAGAAACGTCCGTGACGTCAAAACCCGTTGTTCAAAAGGTAGGACGTTTTAGACACTGTGAAGCATGACATGTTATACGGCAGTGGTTGAGCGGTAGCGGGCACGATTGCTAACCCAAATGTGTTGAGTTCGGTGTGCGAGTTCGAGTCCCTGAGCCTACTCAGCTCTAATGGGTACCTGAAGATTTAGAAAAAAGTAAAGGCATCTGGTTATAGCGCTCACGATATGGTCCCTTCAGATGCCGAGGTAGGAGAAAGAGATAAACTCTACTTCATCTGTCCAGTGGGCCGACCAGCCAGCAAGGGTAATTTACTAAAGTGTAAGAAGAATAGTGAAGAAAAGTGTGTTTATAAGGTAGCGCTTCCCATTCATACATGATTGGGTTAAGGAGCTAAGGGTTAGGTTTAAGCGTAGGTTTATGACTTGACGGCAATAAGGACAATTTTCTTTTCACCCTAATGATTATATATATATATATATATATATATATATATAGATTCATATATATATATATATATATATATATATATATATATATATATATGCATTATTTCCCTTTTTTACTTTCTCGTATAGAGGAAGTATTATAGTCATTATAATCGTGAAAAAAAAAACGAAATCGAAATTTTCACAAATCTTGGCGTTTTACCTCCCTGAGTATGTCTATGTGTCTGTCTGTGTGTGTCTCTGTCTGTGAACACGATGATTGGAGTACCGATACAGCTAGGTTGACAGATTTGTAGTTCTGTATGAACTTTTTAGCGATTCTCGGTAACCGGAAGTGGAACTTATTCTACTTTCGGTTTAACAAAAGCCTATAAATTAATTACTGTTTATATTAGATATATGAAATATCAAATACATGTAGACGATCTAATTTTCTGTTTGTTTTTTTTTTAACATATTTGGTGTAACTTTCGACTACCGGAAGTAGTACTTTAGCCTATTTCCCATTTTTCAAAAAACGCATATAAATTTATTTTAAACTTGATTCCTCTGTCTTTCGTCATACTCGGCAAAATTTCGAAAACTTCTTCCGGACAGAGTTATTTTAAACTTTTCACCTAGGTCACGACACGAATAATTAAATGTTACTTAATTAGATGATTAATTAACTCTTTGAAAATTAATCAAAGTTTTCTTTATAAAGTACTAATGTTCCGCACTATTAAATATAACTTGGTTTCTGTTCATTTGTTGCGCAATTCTTTTTTCTACGAGATACTATTCTATTTAAACAAGATTAAGTATTTACAATTTGATTTTAAAAAATGTCTATTTCGAATGCACTCGAGTTGCCATCCCCATTAATGTTATCTAAGATAACTCGAGTACGTTTAAGGGAAATCATCCCCACTTTGTTTCATTCAACCTTGCAAACTAATGCATTGTGTTATTTTTTTAAATTTTTTTTATGACATGTAGAGAGCAGAGTATATAAAGCTCAATTCTTTTTTTAGCGCAATTTCCATTCTGGAGAATTGCGTTTATTAACCCGTCATTTCTGGATGTATGAATGTATGAATGAATGAATGAATGGATGTGTGTCCGCAGCTTTAAGTCGTATCTCCTCCTCAACGAAGCAATATCGAGGACTAGTTCCAAAGCAATTATGTTAAGCAAGTTACGAGGATGAACATAGGCCAAAAAAATTTCCGGGTTTCTTTTATGGATTTCCCGGAAAAGCCAAAAAAAAAATCGAAAAAATGCAGTTTTTGGCCCATATCTCGGCAACCAGACCACTTAGCGACTTGAAACATTTACCAATCGATTCCTGCTTTAATTTAGAACAATATTGCCGAAAAAAAGTTTTCAAAAATATCCTTTCGTTCGGTCACAAATTTTTTTTTTGAATTAATTAAAATTTGGACCGAATTAGTAGGCATGTTTATCCAACCACACCACACGCGTCATCACGTTCAATAGCTGCGCCATCACGTTTAATGGCTGCGCCATCACGTTCGGTAGCTAGGCGCGCAATGGTTTTTAGTCATGTAACTCTATTGTAAATAAAACATGTAAAATACTGAAAAAAGAATTAATAAAAAACGTTTTAATAACTAACCAATGGTTTTACTAACCCTGCTCTTGATTTACGCTACGACAGAGCTATTTTTTGATAACATAAGGAAATTGCGCTAAAATTGTCACTAGACTTTTTAATTACCTTGTTTAACGTTTAATATTGTTTCTCTCCTACCGCCTCCCCACTCGAGCAAGGGGTTCATGCGGTAAGAGCAGGTTTGCATAAAAAATACATACAGAAAATACTACATCATTTATACAATAATACATAATCTTATTTATATTACTAGTATTACTTATATCATTTACTAAAAGAACATTTAACGATTGGTTAAAATGGGGAGGGAGTTTTCAATACATGGGTTGAAATGTTTCGTTTTTTGGTGTGAAACTAATACAAAACGTCTAAAATGAAAGAAAAGTTGATTTGGTAAGGTGCAGTGTTAGCGTTCATCTTCTAGAGCTCCGCTGTAGATGTATGTTATGCATTCTTGGAGGGGTTCTTTGGTGATGCTGTAGTAAATGTCATCATAGTATAGAATGCGTATGCAGGTGCATTATGTGCAGCTTAATTCCTTTTGATTGTGGGTGTGTTATAATGCAGTAAGTACATCTGAAGGCACTTTCGTTGGAAATTTCTGTCGGTTTGGATTATTTTGCCATCGCAGTGGCTGCGGTTTTTGTGTGTGTGTGCTGTCTTTTCGTGAAATTACGCTTCTGCGGTTCCTTTGTACTGGTTGGCGCAGTATTTGGGATCATTGTTGGTGGCTACGTTGCTGATAACTCTATTGCCTGTGTTGATGTTGGTTCTTCTTGTTGTGGATTATCATTGTAGATGGTGAATATACGGTTGTTAGTGTATGGGATTGCAGTGATTGTGGGTTATGTTTTGCTCATTGTTCTTAGTGCTCAGAGGATTATATTGTTATTTAGTGCAGGTGGGACCCATTATGTTCTCAATACGGTCAGCCACTTTTTTTATTTTTAAAATGTATTCAGTGCAGCTTCACATTAAAAGAAAAAAACCTACAATCTTGCTTCTCCCCCCCCCCCTCCAAGTGTTTTCTTCTTGCTTCCTCATGATCCATGATTTCACTGGATGTAGTCAACACAATAAAGCCAATCTGTCTGTGTTACGCCTGCTATGTAAGAGGTTGAGCTTTCCGATTCAATACCATTTAAATCTTACTACCATGTCAGGATGTTGCACCCAAAGGCAGGCATCATACAATTGTTCTTCTTTTTAGATTTATTCCCGTCCTGAACTCACGCACACCCTTTCACCAGGACTACAAGAACAAGCCTCCTATCTAAGTTCTTCCCCGGCAACAACAAACTCACACTCAAACGTCACTTTCTTGCGTACCGCGTAACACTTTCACTCGTTCAATATTCGGTCTTGATGTCAAGATGCGGCTCTCGAGTTCCATTCGCAAATATTATTATATTAATAAATATAACCAATAAACACGCGCTATTCTTTTAGAATATTTAGTTACTCCCTACTTCCATTTAAAGTGTCCATCCCAAATTGAAAAAAAATTAACGTTATGGTGGCTATCATTTGCTTGAAAAAGTGGATTGTTTCGAAAAAAAATTCCTTGTTTTTATTAAATACACGGACAAATCTGTAAAAAAAATATCGTGATGAAAGCAATGCTTCTGTTAACATGAATAACTTCAGCATTACTATCAACAAAATGAAGGATGTTATCGCTGAGAGATTTGGGCAACTCAAAACAGATGGCGTTCATAGTAGATCCTCTCAACACAAAAACAAATGAGATCAACATCGAGCCATTTGGAATTTATGTTAGTTTGCTTAAAATGCATTTGCTGGATTTGAAAACAAAACATTTGTTGAACTCAAGAGCAAGTTGTAAGAGCTGGATGTTAAGAAAAGCATGCAAGTTACACTTGAAAAATACACAGTTCTAAAAGAAATGCCGCGAGTTGTAGCACTTGTATTAGACGCATGGAACAGTTTTCCACAATGCTACAATAGGGTGGAGAAGTTGACATCTGGAGTGCTGACGATCTTTAGGTCAACATATTCGTGCTAACAAGAGTTCTCTTACATAAATATATAATAAATAGTTAAGTACGAAGCCAATTAAAAAACGAAAATCTAGAGGCGTGCTTGAAGCTGAAAACAAGTTATGAGCCAGGTTTAAACTAACTTTTAAAAGACATGCAAGGCGAATGCTCCCATTGATGTAACTATGTAAATATTTCATTATTATAGTTTTAATATTTGATTAATAATTTTATTATTTTAGCAGAGGTAGCTAAAATACTGTAATATGTTTTGTGCGAAACATGTGTATTTTTACCTTCTCGCATATAGGAAGTATGGAGAAAGTCTTGTAATCGTGCAAAAAAAAAATAGTAGTAATTTACGCTATTTCCTATTTCTCACAAATCGCTTGTCAATTTATAAAGAACTAATAATATTCCGCACTATTATGCACAATTAATTATAGACTACTATTTAAATAACTATAACGTTAGTATATATTGGATACCTTTACTAATGTTTAGTAAGAGACCCACGCTATTCTTTATAGTTATTTAAATAGTAGTCTATAATTTATTTTCTACTATTTAGTGCATTAGTACATAAAAACTTATTTTTGAAACGTCTTTTTGAAATTTTTTTTAGTACTTTACATGTTTTTATTTACAATAGAGTTTCATGACTAAAAACCATTGCGCGCCTTTGAACGTGATGGCGCAGCTATTGAACGCGATGACGCGTGTGGGGCCGTGCGGCGTCAATTCGGCCAATGACGAAACGGCCCCGTCAAAACGACCCCGACAAAACGACCCCGTCAAAACGACCCCGTCAAGTCGGCCCCGTCAAAAGGGCCAGCGACATATGGACCCCGTCATATAGGCTCCCGACAAAAAGGCTCCCGTCATTTAGGCTACCGACAAATAGGCTCCCGTTATATAGGCTCCCGACAAAAGGGCTCCAGTCAATAAGGCTCCTGACAAATAGGCTCCCGTCATT